GGAGCCGGCGGTGCTGACCTGTGCCCCTGCCCCCCCCCAGCGTACCTGGTGCAGGCGGTGAGAGCGGCGGGGCGGTGCGATGCGGTCTTTAGGGGCTTCTCGGACTGTTTGCTGCGGCTGGGCGATAACATGGCCAACTACCCGCAGGACCTGGACGACAAGAGAAACCTCCAAACGATCTGCGCGTAGGTCTTTCCTCTCTCCTTCGGGGCCGCGGGGGGGGAGGGGGGGAGAACGGGACTAGGGGGTCACCCGGGGCTGGGCAAAGTTGGGGCTGGGGGGGGGGGGGGCGAGGCTGGATGGGGGGAAGGGAAGCAACAGAAGTAACGCGGGGTTTGGTGCTTTGGGGTTGGGTTCTCCGCTCCAGGGTCCCTCCGAGCGCGCTGCCACGGGGACAGGCCGGGCTTGGGGAACAGTGAAGTCTGGAGGGAGTTTTTACAATGTCTTTTTTAGTTTTTCCCTCCGTGAATCTGGGTGGTTTATTTTGGTGTTGGTTTTTTTTGGGGTTGTTTTGGTTTTTTTTTTTCCCCGCCCTCCTTAGCTCCTCTCTTTCCCTTCTCCTGCTTTGCACTGGGGTGTTGACCTCAGCTGCCCGGGGGTCGTTACCCCCTTCCCTATCGTTGCCGTTGGGACCCCGCTCACTGGCAGGCTCCGGGGTCCCCCTGGGCGCTCAGGGCAGAGGCAGGCCGGGGGGAGGCAGCTCACCCCGGCCGGGGACAGCCGGCGCTAGGGAGGCGGTTCCTCGGAAAACGAAATGTAATTAAAAAGAAAAGAGCCCAACCACAATATTAATCGCCCAGCGGCAGCTCTCCTCCACCCCCTGGCCCTCGGGGAAAGCCCATTCGCCACCTTCCCCCATCCCCCAGTTTCGCCCCGCTCCTGGCACAGAGGGGAGGAGAAGGAAGGGGCAAAGATAAAGGGGGAAAAGAATAATAATAATAAAAAGGAAAACACCAGCAAAAAAATAATAAAGGGAGAAAAAGAGCTCGCCTTGCAAAATTGGCTCCTGCGCCCCTCCTTTTCAGTTCCTTTCCGAAGCTGGAGGAACTGGGACGGCTGGAGGAGCCCTGGATTTGGGGTAGTTTTCCCCAGAGCTCAGGGCAGCGGATCTTACCAAGGGAAGGAAAACCTGGGGCGGCTGCCGGGAGCCGGTGAGCTTCGGGGTCTCGCGTCCCGGGCAGGGAGGCAGAAATGGCCATTTTCGATACGTCTGGGGAAAAAAAAAAAAGAAAAGAAAAGAAAAGAAAATCCGGCTGCACAGGATATTCTCCCGTCTCTCCTCGTTGCTGTTTTCCAGCACAAACTCCTCCCGCCGAAAAAAACAAAACACACAGACACACACAATATAGAAAATCGTAATTAGAAACGAGATAAGGTCCTTAGACATAAATATGTTTGGAATAGTTTTTTTCTGATTTTGCTCCACGAAAATCAGAAAACGAAGGACGTGAAATGGGAAAGTGAGATGAAAAGGAAAGGAAAGGAAAGAGAGAAGGAAAGGAAAGTGAGAAGGAAAGGAAAGGAAAGGAAAGGAAAGGAAAGGAAAGGAAAGGAAAGGAAAGGAAAGGAGGAGAAGAGAGAGGAGAGGAGAGGAGAGGAGAGGAGAGGAGAGGAGAGGAGAAGAGAAGAGAAGAGAAGAGAAGAGAAGAGACTTTGTAACCCTCCAGTCTTCTCTTCCTACCTAGAGATTTCTGAGCCAAGCACCTACTAAGGCCGGCACCTTGCTGTAAATGCTGGGTTGCGGTTTACCTTGTGTCCTGCATGAGGAATAAATACCCAGGGGCAGCAGTGTCCTAATATGATGTCCTTTGGCCCTGGAGTGCTGGACCAGAGGTGGTCCCCACCTGCAAAAAGTAACTCTTTTCCAAGCAAGACCCTTTTCCAAGCCACCTCCCACCACCCGATTGCCTTCGCCCTGTGCCGGGATGTGTATTGAGAGAAGATGGGGAAGATTTAATTTTCCTTTGGGAGATGCAATTACAGCAGAAATACTGCAGGAGAGGCACACTCTCAGACTCTGGCTTCTCAGTATCTCATTATTTATTACAAACGTAGCAAACATTGGGAGTCTACAACCAGCTTAGAGTGCTCATAAATTACAGGCTGTAGGACTACTTAAAAAAAAAGAAAATAAAAAAAAAAAAAGAAAATCAAGATCCAAATTTGCAGGCGCCTGCCTTGAGGCAAGGAGGAAATAGGAGGCAGAGGGCAGATTCGGGGTGATTTTCGATAACCCAGAGGCGGAGAAGAAAGGTCCTCCCGCCCCCCGAGGTGGGGCAGTGGGACGGGTCCTGCCCCGGCGGCAAACCCCGGTCCAGCCTCCGCGAAGAAGGGAATTAAAAGAAAAAGGAAAAATGTGTGGGAACAGCTAGAAATTATCCTGAGGAAGGAGAAACCCTTCGCTGCCTGTAGACCCCTGGCCACGGATGAGGAGTCCCTCCCGCCGCTCCCCGCTCCTTCTCCTCCTCCTCATTCTCGTCCTCCTCTTCCTCCCCTCCTGCCCCTGGAGTCAGGGCCCGCTCCCGTCCCGGGGGATCCTCCCGAGGGTTTCTACCGCCGCACCGGGACCCTCCAGGACACCGCCTCCCTTCTGGGAAGAGCGATGCCTTGCCCACCCCCATCTGCCCGCTCCCACCGGGGACGAAAAACTCTCGGGACGAGCCCGTGGGCTCCCAGGCTGGCGTCTGCCAGCCGAGGGCTGCGTGCCCTCTCCCCCCGCGTCAGGCAAAGACCCAGCAAAGCCATTTTTTGCCCCAGCCCGGGCTGGTGCCGAAGGCGGGGTTGGGGAGGGAGCATCCCCGAAACCCCGGCCAGCGGCAGCCCACCCGGGAGCGGGCAGGGGACATGGTGCACACGGGGCGGGCTGCTGCGGGGCAGCCCGGGGAAGGCGAGGGGACGAGGATCCCTCCCAGAAACCGGTGGTTTTGGGGACAGGGGGTGTGTGGGGGGGAAGGGGCCGGGTTTTAGGGCGGGGGAGGCGGCGGCTCCTCCCCGCCGGGCGCCAGCCGCCCTTTAAGGCATGGCCCCGCTCAGCTCCGCCGTCGGGGGGTCGGCGGGCCCAAGGGGTCGTCTCCCCCCTCACCCCCCCCCCCCCCCCCGGGAAGGTGGGTGCGTGCCTGTGTTGATGCCCGCTGCTCTCCCCTCCTGCAGGTACTGGGATGATTTCCACGCCTGCACCCTCACAGCGCTCACCGATTGCCAGGAAGGAGCGACAGACCTCTGGGAGAAATTGAGACGGGAATCCAAAAACCTCGATTTCCAAGGCAGCTTATTTGAACTGTGCGGAGGCGGCAGCGGCGCGGCACCGTCCCTCCTCCCGCCGGCTTTGCCCCTGCTGCTGGCGGCTCTGTGGGCCGCGCTAGTGACCTGGCTGCCTTTCTAGGGGGGGCGAGCACACTCACACCCACACCCTCTCCATGTGCCGGATCCATAGAGGAAGGGTCCATCCGTTGCTTTGGGGACGTTGTGCTTTTCTGTGGTTGATGATGATGATGATGGTGGTGGTGGTGGCTGATGATGGTGATGGTGAAACACCCATGTAGGACTGTGGAAGCGTTCTCCCTTTTTTTTTTTTTTTTTTGGGTGTTTTTTTTTTGTGTGTTTTATTTGCCAAATGTTACCAAACAGGCAGCGGCGCGCAGCCCAAATCGGACCTCAGCTTTACTATCGCTTCGAATCAAAACTAGACAAAAAAATAAAACTAACAAACTCGAGCCCTCGTTGTGCAAAAGCAATCTCAGGAACGGCTCTGGGCCACCTAACGCTAAGGTTGTAATCGGCCGGGATACCTCCCGGCGGGCCACGGGCTCCTCTAAAAATGTGGCAGTGTGCGAGGCGAGAACAAAAACGCAGGCAAAAAAAGGCACTGGCGATGAATCTAAGGTAGATGTCCACGTGTGAAGCATATGGTGAATAATTCACAATCTCTCATCTTTCCTCCACAGTCGCTTGTTTTTTGGTCATTCCACTGAAAAAAAAAAAAAAAAAAAAAAAAAGCATTTTTCCTCAAGGGGAAAAGAGAGCGAGCGAGAGAGAGAGAGGAGAGAGAGAAACGAACAGGGAAGGAAGGAAGGGAAGAGCGAAAGAAAGAGATGTCTAAATGTCCGGAGGAGTGAAGGAATGCTGCTAATGGATTTCTGAGAGTTTACCTTTACTTGCTGTTCGAAGGCATCTTTCCGAATTCACTGCCTTTAATTTTTTCCTCCTCTTTGTTTTAGATGTTACACATACCGGTAAAATACCTGACTATCCAACCGTAGAGATCACAAAAAAGGGGGCTTAACTGTAAACCTAAAAAAAAAAAAAAAACCCATAAAAAAACAACAACAGCAAAATGATTTTGAAAAAAAGAGCCTTGATTTTAAAAGAGAAGAAAAATGTAATTTAAACAAAAGTTTATTATAAAGTCAATTCAGCAAAAAAAAAATTTGCTACAAAGTATAGACAGAAATATAAAATAAAAATTATTGTTTGAAATGAGGGTGTCGTCCTTTTTATAAAATATGCCTAGAGTATCTTGAAAAGGACAGGGCTTTTCAGGCAAGGAAGGCTAAATCCCGAACCGATCCCTTGATGAACATGGCAATTTCAGTTCAAACAAGGACAAGGCGGCTGAATTGGTTAGTCGGAGCCTTCCTTTTCTTTTTTTTCTTTTTTTTCACCCCCCACTTATTTCTTAAAAATACGCTCTAAATCCTCCCCCCCTCCTCCTCCTCCTCCAGAAACTCAAACCCGCAGCACCCCCGTTCCCCAGCCGCCCGGAGCCGGCGAAGGAAACCCCGCGCAGCGGCGGGCGGCGCGGCGGTCCCGCGGGCGCGGAGCGGTGCGGAACGGCGCGGAGCCCCGGCGGAGGGAGGGCAGCAACCACCATTAAGGAGGAGGCTGCGGAGCCGGAGCCGGGGCACAGAGGAGCCCTTTCATAATTCATAAGGCAACTCAGCCGAAGGAGCAAGGGGAAGGGGGGGACGGGGTATTGATTTCGCAGCAGAAGCTGCTCTAACCTCGGCTATTTATAGGCGCCTGATGCCTTTATAAAGAAATACACATCAAAGAGTAAACATGTCCTTTTTATTTATAAGGCGAGAGCCCAGCTGGCGACCGCGGCTGGGTGGGGGGGTGGGTGATGGGGAGGTAGGGGCCGCGAATCGGTTTGAGGTGATTTATTCCGGTGGGGAGCCGTTGCCTGCGCAATAGCTCTCCTTTGCCAAGGTGCAGGGTGGCAGGGTCTCTCTCTCCTTCGCCCCCTCTCCCTCTTCCCCTTCCTTCCCAAGGTCCGCAATGTAATGTGTAAGCAATAGCAAATGTAACAGTTCATAAATCAAACAGTGGGTCGCAAGCCAATCTGCATTTCCCAAACGGATTGAATCCCAGCAACGAATGCGCTCAGGAACTGGAGCCAGGCGCCTTTACCACTGGAAGCAATGTTGATTTTTTAATGATAAAATACATTATGCGTGTGTTGAGCGGGGGGGGCTTTGCAGAGCTCAGCCTCGCTTCGGCAGACACAGGTCTGCTCGCATTTCGTTTTCCTCTGCCCTCCCTCCAGACTCAATCCCCACCACCACCAAAGAAAAAGGAAAACCCTGGAGAGCAGAGCTTTGTTTAAATGGTTGGGGTTATTTTCCCTCCCCACAGAGGATCTAGACCTAAATTGATTTTTCTGCGCACATCTCTGTATTCATGAGGTCAGGCGCTGCCGGTGTGATTTCCAGCAGCACGAAATGCCAGCTGCCGAGGAGAGAGGGGAGAGACAGCCCTTGCCTGGGGTGCGAGGCGCTCCGCAGCCTGCTACCTCCGCCGGCTGGGCCCCGGGGACTTTTCGCCGGCGGCAGGCGGCCCGTTTCGCCCCGGGGCGCCGGTACCTCCCGCCGCCGGCATCCCCCGGCTGGGCACCGGGAGCGCTCCCGCCGCCGGCCCCCGCTTCCCGGCTGCTGGACGGTGCCCGTCCGTCGGAGGACGGTGGGAGGGGAGCCAGCCTCCCAGCTTTTCCTCACCCCTCGGAAGAAAGCTGAAACTCCGTAAGAAGGGGGCGATTTCCACCTGAGTGGGGGACTCGAGTTATCTTCTTCTGAGGTTGAATTACTAGCGGATAATCTCTCCGTAATCAGCACACCCCCCTCCTAGTTAGCCCTCCGTTGAGGTGAATGGTAAAACGGTGGCAAACCGGGGAAAAACAGCCGAGCGGGTGGGGAGGGGGCGGGCGGCGGCGGCAGGGCGGCCGGGGGGGGTGCCCGGGCCCCTTCCCTCCGCTCGCCTTCCCTCCCCTCCCGCCGCCCCCCGGACACCTCCCGGGGAGTCTCCCGTGTCGGGCTCTTAATTGTCGGGCGCCCATCCCCGGGGCTCAGGCCGGCCACCGGGCATCCCGGGCGAGCTGGGGAGCAAGGAGGCATTTGTTGCTCAAAAACCTGCCTTGCACCCCCGGGAGTTCCCGCACAGGCGGCAGGGACGGCAGCAAACCCCGGTCCCGCCGGCTCAGCTCCCCCCGGCCAACCGGCAAGCAAGGCTCTCCCCTCCGGCAGCTCAGTATTTTTTTCGGGCAACCCACAAACTCCCTCTCACCCCTTCCCCCTGTTCATTTTAAAGAGCCCCTCAATGCACAAGGCGTTTGTTTTTCCCCTTTCTGCCCCTTTCAGGGGTTATTTCTGAAGCCTGAGTGCAAGGGTCCATTTTTGTTTAACCCAGGGGTGATGACTCTGTCTCGCCTTGTTTTGCGGCCAAGGAAACATGGGCTCTCCCCCAAGTCCCAGAAAGGGACTGAGCGTACTCGGTTTGCCTCCTGCCGCCTCGCACCTGTAGGGTTTGTAAGGGCTGGCAGGAGAGGGCTGCGGGGGGAGGCTGGGGTGTCTCCTGCCGGGCTGGTCCCAGTGCCCCAGGCAGCAGCTGCTGTAGCAAAAGCTGGAAAGGTTCAAGCCTCTGAACACCCTTTAACTCCTGGGCAAACGTGAGCTGGTGAACTGGGGAGGGGAAAAAAAATGCAACAGAAAAGTATTTAAACGTTGACAGTAACCACTGTAAAATTATCACCTACTTAAACAAAAAAATACACACATAACACACCAGAAGGAAAAAAAAACCCAACCCCAAACCGTAAACGCAGATCAACAGGGAAAAAACCCACAGCTGAAACAAAAGACAAACCAGTGCCTTTCTAGCTGGCTGGCTAATTGGGGAGGGCTGCAGCCATTGCGGCTCTGCCTGCCCTAATTCCTGTCCCCAGCTCCGACTGAGCAACCGCAGCCCCGCAGTCCCCGGAGGGCCGCAGAAAGCTGGCTCCTTCCTTCCCTGTCAGTGCTGGATGAACCCAGGCTTGGCAATCGGCTGCTCTCTGCCAGCCTCTTCACCTTTTAGCAGCCTGGCTCAGCCCTGGAGGGAGGGCTGCGCCTCGGTCCCCCCTTGGGCTGCCCTCCGAGGCGGAGAGACTGAGCCAGCACTGGGCTGAGGTGGTGACAGTTGATTTTTTTGCTTTAAAGGGGGGGGGAAGTCCCTTTCCCATCTGCTCCTGTTCAAAGGCTGTAAGAGGGAGATGGAGCGGGCCTGTGTTGGGAGCAAAAGCTTAAGGCGGGACGCATAAAACTGAGGAAAAGCTGTCTGAATGGTAGCGAGGGTGAACAGGTTGATCCTCATGGAGTGAGCAGGGAGGGATGCTATAAAAGTAAGGTGCAGTACCCATTTCTCACAGGACTTGCCTGTGAGTACATCTACACCTCAGAAGCAGCAGTGAGATGCTGTTGGTCCCTGGCTGGTTTGCACAGTCTAGGGACAAATGTATCGGTGACTCTCCCAGCCCTCTTCCTTTCCAGGGCCCTGTTTAAATCTGTGCAGTTGCTTTCCTGCCCAGTGAAATTCAGTAGGCTCTGTGAAGGGCTGACAACCCAAGGAGACAGAGGCCAGTTCAGCCTTTCTATTCATCAGGGCTGATTCATTAATAATTAGTGCCATTAGGTGCACTACAGCAGTGCCTGAGGGCCCCAATTAAAGGAAAGTGAGCTTGTTAAATCCAGAGAGCCAGATTCTCCCTCTGTTACTCCTGCCTGATGCAGAGGTGGTGCCTCCAGGGTGGGCAGCAGGAATAGCCCTGGCTTTCTAGGTATGCAGCCTCTCTGCCTTCCCCTCCCTTCTCCTCCTCCTCCAGCTTTTCCCTCTCCTTCACCTTAGCTGCAGATCCTGCTTACAGGCTGCTGCAGAGCGAGGCCGGTGCAGGAGGTGGCTGGCAGGACTCGCGGGAAGAGGTGGCAAATCAGGTTATTTTTCAGAGCCGCTTCATTTTTCATCACAGGGCAAAGGTGTGGGGTGGTTTTTTTGGTTTTTGTTTTTGTTTTTTTTTTTGCAGGTGTTGGGGGGAGGGAGCAGGCAAAGCGATGGGGACTGCAGAGGAGCCTGTTACAAAATCAGATGCAACTTAGCTGTCCGAAAGAGTTGCTTTAGGCTACAGGCAGCTGATGATCAATGGTGCTGTTGGCAGATATGCTTTCAGCTGGCTGCTGTCTCTCCTGAGGGACAGTTTCAACACAAGGCCCATTGCAGTGGTAGTACAGCAAGGGGCTTTCGTTTGCTTTGGGTTAAGGACCCTCTGCTGCCCAGTTCCACCAGTGAGAAGAAAAGCTGGAGGTGGTGTGGGAGAGAGACACAGTACCATCATTGGTGAGTTAATGGCCGTTTCTTTCTCCTCAAATCCCCACGGTGGGTCTGTGTTAGAAGATGTTACTCAAAGCCCCATACTCCTGAGCTAAGGGTTTGCTAATGAATGGGCAGGCTGGGCTGGCATAGGTTTTGCCTTTCAGAAGATACTGAAGAAATAGGTTTAAATGATTCAAATGATCAGAAACCCAGCCTTGTGGTCTCTGCCCTAGACTTTTAGCTTTTGTTGTTTGTTTTATTTTGTTCGTCTGTTTATCTCCTAAGCTGATATGAAGGAAAGACGGAAACAGCCTGCTGAAGGTCAAGGTGAGACTGATCATCAGTTCACCCAAGTGCTGGTATTCACCAGCAGAAATCCATGCTCACAGGTGCTGGAACTCTCCTCAGCAACAGAAACAGCGTGCTGCAGGGGACAAACAACTAGTCCTGACCTTCTTTACACAGCCCTTCTCTGGGAAAAAGTATCCCCTGAAGTCAATATGCATTCTGCCTAGGTAAGGATTTTGAATGCTCAGTTTTGCCTCTGACAGGGATGCTATCCATATACAAACTCCAGGTTCATGCAACCAAAAACATGAAGTGCTTGGGTGTGCATCGTACTTCATGCCTCCAGATTTCTTGCCTATGATATCAATTTATTAAGGACTGTGAAAAACTTACTAAATCTCTCAAGCATCAAAGATCAAATCCACAGGGCACCTTTTCTGTTGTGAAGCAGCAGGCTCAAGAATGGATGGGCAGTGCATCCTTTAATACCACTTTAATACCACCAATTTTTATAACACTTTAGATACGATATTCAAACTGATACTCCCTAAGGCAGGGAACAAAAAACTAAA